ATCTCTCTGTTGTAAAGGACCTAAAAAGTAAATTACTGGGACTTCTATTTGAAACATGGCTGTCTATAACAACTTCCAAAATAAGGGATAGTCCTTCCTCTGCTTAAACCCTTCTAGTGTCATGGAACTCAGTGTTCCCTTACCCTGATTCCCGATATAACAATCCTGTTCTTAGACAACTTTAATTATCATTAATACTTGCCTTATGTTGAGGCAAACTCTTCCTCCCATTAATTTCTACCCATTTGCTCTCTCTCTGTCCTGTGAAGCTAAGAAAGATAAAGATGGTACATCCAAGTGGCAGACATTCAAATATTTGAAAATGGTGGTTAATTCTCCCCCTAACTCCATTCTTCTTCAAGTTTAATGATTATTTCCTAGAGTACATGAAAATATTTTGAAAGATAGAAAGCATCGTACAGTCACACCCTCTCTGGGTAAATCCTTCAACATAAACTTATACTCAGAGGTTGGTTGGGTCGCCAGAGAGAAGTTGCTGCCTCCAGTTCTAGCAGTAACCCTGTGGGTAGCTACTCCTACTCCTGTAGTTTATATGTCCCCACTAATATGTTATTTCTGTGAACAGTAAGCCAGAAAACTTAATTCGCTTTTAGAGAAGAAATTTACTTAGATGATATTGTAAGAATAGTTAACAGAAACATTCCCCCCAAAAGCCTTGGGGGTGTTCTCTCCCTCAGACACACACAGCGCTCGTGGGAAGTGCATGACCAAGACTTAAGGGACAGTGGTAAGGAGTCACATGTTAAGGATGTATGTGTGGCCAAGGATAAGTCACAAGTCATGGCACTCCATGACCTGGAAGTGCTTTCTTGCTTTGTAGAATCTTCACATAGGCCCCTCTCTGCTAGAAGGGCCGCTCAGCTGTTGCCTTCTCTTCTTGCGACAATAACCTGGTCTCTTCACTGCTGTAAAGCAGCCACCCTGCTTGAAGTTGCTTCTTCTCTTTGTGTCCGTCCTTTGCTTTCTGCTGCTGGATGGATGGATGCAGTTCTTATAGCTCTGATGGCATGGCCAACAGAGAAGGAGAAGAGAGAATGCCTCTCTCTCCCTGCTGTACAGGTGAACGGTCTACCTCCTCAGTGCACTCTCAGTCTGGGATATTTCAACTGCTGAATGAATTATTTCTTGTATGTTGTTGTTGTTGTTGCCAGTTGTTTTTCAGTCACATCTGATTCTTCCTGACCCATTTGGGATTTTCTTGGCAAAGATACTGGAGTGGTTTGCCATTTTCCTTCTTCAACTCATTTTGTAGATGAGGAAACTGAGGCAAACAAGGTTAGAGTGACTTGCCCAGAGTCACACAGCTCGTAAGTGTCTGAGACCAGATTTGAACTGGGGAAGATAAGTCTTCCAGACTCCAGGTCTTGTACTTTATTCACTGAGCCACCTAGTTACTTCTTTTATATGGAAACCCAAAAGGCATGACTAATTAGTCATAATTAGCAATCATAAAATTTTGCTTTAATTTTTAATTCTGTGTATAAGATGCATGTTATATTTTGATATGGAAGCCTTTTTACCCATATTAACAAATTAAAATCTCAATTCCTCCATTCTTTATTTAATTTCCTATTCTTTCTACTTTTAGATCATAAAAGTTTCCAAATAATGTATGCTTTATTAATATTAATAATAGTGTTAATAATAATTTAGTGCTTGCTATAATCAACAACACAAAACTTGGCTTAACTGATCTTTTTCTATCTTTTACACTTATTTTTGCTAAAATGCACAAGATCTAGATCTGTATATAAATATTTTTAAAAAACATATAGTATGAGTATGGAAATGTTTTGCATAATTGCACATGTATAACCTATATCAAATTGCTTGCCGTCTTGGGGAGAGGAAAGGGAGAAAGAGAATCTGGAACTCAAAATTTTTAAAAATTAATGTTTTGGGGAAAATAATATACATATATATACACATATATATATATATATACACGTTATATATATATATTTCTTATTATCAGCTAGCAGAATGTCTTGTACATACCATGTACTTAATAGATCAATCAAATGAACCCAATACTTACAATTTGGTTGTTATATTCATTTAAGGCTTTCTGATAGTTCATAACTTAAAATGAGCCATTCAGTAATGTCTCTATTTCATATTTAAGGTATTGGTTTTTTTCAGCTGAAATCCTAATGTGATAATTGACATATTGATATTATGTCATACTAACATGAAATATGTCAATTTCATTTGAAATTCTCATGGATTTTTAAGCTTTTGGTTTCTGGTAAAAGGTTATATTTTGAATAGTGTCAACTATCCGTGTGTCTCAGCTGCAGCTATATTGTTTTAATACCAATTATACTTCCTCATTTCTGGTTGGAAATTCTTTAGAGTTTCCTTGGTAAGCTTGCCGTAGAAAACAAGTCTTTATCTAAGAGGATTACTTTGGATGAATACACAGGCTCTCCTTTCCCTGGATAATATATACACTTAGTCACATGTGTTAATAACTTAGGGTGGAGGGCATTTCGTGCATTCATCATGAACTACATATTCATTTAACTACTTGGAATAGAATCAACACGTGTGAAGAAGTCTAAGTGTTAGGTGCTTTATTTAACATGCCAGGCTGACACCTCGCTTGGTAATACATGTGTCAAAGTGACAACCCCTCAGTATGTAAGACAATTCCTGTTGTGGCGAAGGCTGACCGATGTGACATCGTCCTGGTTTACCTTTCTCACATGTCATTTTGTAGACCCCTGCCTCCTATCTGTCATATATATGACATGCCCCAGTGAGGTTTAATATGACAGAACTCTTTATTTGAATCCTATGGGTGATGATCTCACCTGACAACCCCGAGCATTACCAGTGAAATTCACTCAGATACAACCGTGTTGTGTCTGTCAGAGTGCTGAGGCAAAGTGTCATGCAGTTTATCAGAACAAGGGAGATAAGTTATTTGCTCTTTCAGGTCAAGTTTGTGAAATACTGAAGCAATAGAAATAGGAAATAGTTACATGTGTCTTTAGTACGCTTGGTTTTACTGCTGTCTCTGAAATATTTGAAAATTCAGGAAAGTTCTCTACTTGGACCCAAGTGAAAAGAAAAAATCATTCAGTTGGAAAAAAAAGTTGCTTCATGTAATGATGTCATGAACCCCTGGACCCATAAGTCTTACCCTGCGTGAATAAAGCTAAGCTCCCATTAGTTCTTTTGCCTAATCTTCCATGAACGATTTTATGCTTGTTAATATTAAGACCAGGAAAACACCTGTGCATATCTATGTTTGGCGTGTAGCAGCCGCTCAGTGTAAGAAGGTTGATTTGTCAAAGTATTACTTGAGTTCATTATTATAAAACTGTTTTCAACTTTCATCATCAGCTATACCTAATTGCTATGCTTTTTTATACTTTTCTCTCATTATAGATCAACTTTCTTTTCTATTCTCTGAAAAAATCATGAATGACCAATATTTTGACATTTGGGTTTTTTTTTTTCCCGTGAAAGGTTAACTTAAAATTCTTTCTGATAGAATAAATGTTACTGATGAATTATCCAGAGTAGAAAATCAAACTTTTGGCATTTTATAAATTAAGGATGAGATATAATTGCAGGAAATATTTTTAAAGAATAAACCTAGGTAATTTATGAGTTTATATGAAAACACTTAAATGATTCATCTACACGTAGGAAAAATTCATTCCACTTGAGATGCTTTTGATCTGATTGCTGAATGAAAGGTCTTTATGTCATTGTGATTAAAATGCAACTTTTAAAATTAATTGCTTTAATTTTAATTGACTATAGTTAACAAGCATCAAAGATACATCTCCATGTATATCACAATGAACACATCAAATATAAATCTGTGTCCAAAGTTAATACAAACTGGTTTTTTTTCTTTAATTCTCATGAAATGTGCATTCCTTTCTTAGCTTTTGTATACAATGACACATTTTAAAATGAAAAAAAGAAATAATGGGAAACAATCTCCTGCTTCTAATCTTTTAAGAATTAAAAATGGAATCTTTAGAAAATAGAATTAATAAAGGCAGGAATTACTAATTATCACCAAGGACAGCTCTCATAATTAATAGTTAGGCTATGCAAACATATTGCAGGTTAAGAGGTAAATATAGGTTCAGTATGATTTATATCTAGTTCTATGACCAAAAACATTTTTATATTCAGAGAGTCAGAGTTCAGTAGGGGAATTATAGGTGATCAAATTGTAGAAAGATATAGCTAAAAGTATAAATTCCCCTGACATAGATGTATCTTTACTTTCATTCTGAATCTGAATTAAGGAAGAATTATATTCAGACTCCAATTTTCTTTAGACATTTTTCCTTTTGTGTGTATATACATACATTTATATTTTAATTAAAGAAGCAATACAATCTTTGACAGTAGTGGGAGTTTCTAATTGTATGCATAATATGCATTTCCCCACAAAATTTCTTGCAGGTAAAAATAAAAATATAAAATTGTTACTCTTATTTGGTATAAAAGTAGTTAATATATTTTAAAGTGCATTCAGTAGATTTTTATAATATTATAACTTGTACAACGTTCACTTCTTTGGTTAAATGTTTGGTACTACTAGAAAATACTATTCACAGGCATTTTCAAGGACTTTTCATTGTTTTCTTTAAATCTGGAAAATATTTCTCATAATCCATTACCTTGAACACTGGCTAAAAGAAAATAGTTTAGTGCCTTTCATTCTAGGTCATCATATGAAGGGAATGTTTGTAAATTTATCCAATGTGTTTTATTTATGTAGTAAGCCAGTCTGTATAATTCAAGCTAATAACCTTTGTTGTAGGGGCTTTTCAAGACAAAAACAAGGTCAGAAAATGTCTAGATAATGTAGATTATTGAAATTGTATGGATTTGACATTAAAATACTTTGCAGATCTACACTGGCTACATAGCACCAAGCAGCATATAAAAGAAATCTGTTGTCTGTAATTAAATGACTTTTTCTCTCTCTTTTTTTTTAACAGACCTGATGGAATTGGAACCGTTTCAGTGGAAGAAAAAGAAAGATTTGAAGAGATTAAAGAAAGGCTGTCTTCCCTTTTAGAAAACCAAATTAGCCATTTCAGGTATGGTTTCCCTTGTGTTCACAAGAGTCCTGTTCTCCAATCTATCATTCAAAGGGCCACAAGATTATTCATAACATTGCATCCTTGCTTAAAATCCTACAGTGGCTTCCCGATTGCCTACAGGATCACATCCAATATCCTTAGCCTTGCAAAGCTTTTCTGCAATATCATTTCAATCTACCTTTCAGTGAATACAGTGAAGGGCTCCTTCTTTCATTTGAAATTCCTTTGGTTTTTGTCTTGGTAACTAATCTTGCCCATCTATCAAGGTTCAACTCAAAGTCCTCCTCTTCGAAGCTGATCACACTTTGAGTTCCTAAAGTGATTGCTTCTTCCTCTGCCTTGGCCTTATTACTTGCAATCCATACCACACACTTGATGTATATCATATAGAACCTTATACTGCTAATTATCTTTATATGCTCACTTCCTTGAGGACAAAGACCTTGCCATGTGCTTTTTTTGTGGCCATGTACCTTGCACCTAAAGAGACAAATTAAATATTAGAGAGAATTGAACCATGGATGGAAAGGGTCTGGGATAAAAGACACAAGCAGGCTTATCCTTGGCAAGAAAAAAAAAAACAAGTATCTACCTAAGACTGGAACAAAGAAGGAGTGAATTTTTTGTGACTCAAAAATATGAATGGGCTCACTACTCAATTGAGTTAGTGTCTTTTTAAGAAATTTCCAATTCACTCAATTTTTTATTTCACTGTTTTAACACTAACTTTCTGACCATGAGAAAGCAATTTTACCTGTTTTATCACAAAATAAGATTCAGTGTTTCTTCAAGCTCTAAATGACATGATTTCATTTCTGTGCTAATACTAACTTTTTGTCATATGAAGAAATTGAAGCTAGTTAGTCAAAAGAAGAAAAAAAGTCATGGGTTGACTTGATTATAACCTTCAAGTATATGAGAGATTTTATAACTAGTTTGAAAACAGTTTTTTCTGTATAATTATAGAAGAGGAAAAGGACTTACATTAAAATAGAAGAGATTTCAGTTGGACGTTTGGAATAACTTAGGGGTAATTCTCAGGGAGTTGATACAATCTAGAGGTCTACTCCCAAAAAAAAAATAAACCTGGAGCATTTCTTTCTTTCTTTCTTTTTTTTGGCAGTTGGGGTTAAGTGACTTGCCCAGGGTCACACAGCTAGTAAGTGTCAAGTGTTGGTCTCAGGCTGAATTTGAACTCAGGTCTTCCTGACTTCAGGGCCAGTGCTCTATCCACTGTGCCACCTAGCTGCCCTGAGCATTTATTTCTTGCATATTTATTTTCTCTTTTTTGTATTCATCCCATTTCCATTAGACATATTTACAGCTATTTAACTGTTTCTCATCACAATACAATTATTAAAACTGTCCTAGGGATTTACTCAGACAAATTTATGAAAACAGAGGACCTCCACTGAATGACCAGTTGAAGTCTGTGCTATTTGATCGTTGTGTGATCTTGGCCAAGACACTTATCCTCTCAGTCCTCAGTTTCCTTATCTGTAAAATAAGGATGTCCTCTAAAGTCACTTCCATTGCTAACTCCATTACCCAATTATTGCTTCCAGCACAAAGGTGCAATCAGTGTACCTTGAATCTTGACATAATGACAGTTCAGATATTCATTACTAGTCAACACATATCAAAAAAGCTACAGCAGTAAAATTAGTTTTTGTTAAAAAGAAATCTTATGGTTCATCTATCTAGATATACAGATACTGATATCTAAATTATTCAAGAAAATGTTAAGCAATCCTGAAAACAATTGACAGCCACCTCATCATGTCAAGCCAATATTAATGTTAAAAAGTTGGATGAAAAGAATTTTTTCCTTTTAAATATTTATGTATGTAAATATGTGTACACTTAAGATACAATATATATCTTTTAAAAGAATGGGTTTATATGTATATATGCAAAATATATGCATATGTATAAATATACATGTTTTTGTGTGTTTGTATATACACACATTATCTCAAAAGTCTTAATGTGATTTTAAGCCTTAATAGCTTAACCCTGCACTAAGACTTTTGGGACACCCTGAATATGTAAAAGGCCCTAGTAGTTTCTATCTCTTATTGATTCAGGATTACTTTTACTCCATAAGTGTGTTGAAGTATTTACATATATGTGTATAATGGTAACTAATGCTAATTTAAAACATACCCAGCAGGACTTCAGAGACCTGAAATGCTAAAAGTAATCAAGAGGTCAGTTGCATTCCATTCATAAAGTGTGTTACCTGCAGTTTAATGGGAATAAACAATAGAGAGAACAATGAATGGATTATGCAAATACTCTGAAAAGATTTAGGCAGGAGGAGGGAAATACTGTACAAGAGCCAAATTTGTGTCTTATTTAAAAATGGATTAAGGTTTGTGGGTATACAAGATGATTAGAAACGTGTTGCTGATTTACTAAGAAGGAAGACCACTGTCCCTCCCCACCAAGAAAGAAAGAAGCCAGTCAGCTTAATAAATGTCTCCTTGCCTATTACCCCCTCCCCCCAAAAAAAGTGTGAAGGGAGGGAAAGGAGTCTTTGGGAGAGAGTGTTAGAGAAAAAATGTGGGAGAAAGGCAAATAAATTTCTCAAGGCAATTTTAAAACATTCTACCACCATATTTATGTGACTTTGTGAATGTAGGCTGTATATGAGATCAATAAAAATTTAGCAAAGCTAAAACTTGTGACAGCATAAGCACTTTTATTTTAAAAAGCTATGAACTATTTTTATTGAAATTTAGTTTTATAAAATTATCTGAATTTAAAAATAACATCAAAGTAGAAAATAACTTTTTTTTTTCATATAATGATACTACCCCAGAGATAAAGGTTTATGACCGGATTAAATAGTAATGAAGCAGCTTAGTATAAGGGAAAGTATGCTGGATTTTGGAGTCCAAGGATCTGAGTTTGAAACTTGGCCCTCTCCTTACTTGTAAGACTAGGGACAGTTCACCTAATCTGTAAAATGAAAAGGTTGGAATCCACAATGACTCTAACTCTAATCCTAAAAATCAAGAATTCTTAAGTGGAACAGTGAGTTTATATGAGGAGTTGCATTTAATCCAGTATCTTTAAGGATAAGGAGTTTTGGTATCATTTCTTTATGTTTCCTAAAGGAATATGTTTGCTTTTTAAAAGTGTTTTAAAGTAAAAGTGCTTTTGATTACGAATAATCTGAAAAAAATCAATCCTATTTCTCTTGTTTCAAGTTATCATTTGAAAGATGAATAAGTCATAGCAAGGTGGCACTCTGAGGCCAGTATAGCCCCTGTAACATTGTGAAAGGTTTGCTGAACATAGCTCAAGAAAATAGGGAGAACCCAGCCTAAAATCCCCAGGATAGAAGTGTCCATAACATGCTACATTCTAAGTGGAAAGGGGACTGAAGAGGACCTCCTTCTAAAGAGCGGCCAGAACATATTACCACTTTGTGATGAGAATTTTCTGTGCAACCCATTCACACCTTTCTCAATCTGGTCTCTCCTCCCTCTTCTCCCCATGCACTTGTATGTTCAGAGGATCTATGTAACATACCAAAGAGCTGGTACGTGGACTCAGGTCAAGCAGCTACTGGCTGGTGAAAGACAAGCAGAGGATTTAAGTATGTTATATGGGAAGGTTTATGAATATGATACTGAACAGAGGGTAACTGACAGGGAGCTGGAGAACTACAGTCCTCGCCTAATAGCTAGCATGAGGGTGTCTAGGGCTTCTGTTTTTCAATTGCAGATGTATATGTATGATTTCGTTGTATAATAAGGCTTTTTAAAAAGAATGGAAGAATTTATTATAAAATGCATTTTATTGCTTTTCCCATCATTATCCATATACCACCTTTACATTTCTTAAAGTGCATATTTTACTACCAAAAAGACATAAGATACTTCAGTCTTCACTGCAGTAAGCTCTCTTACTATTTAGGGCATTTATGTTATGAAAGTGAACAAAAATACATGCAGTTGAAAGCTTTTGTGTTGAAATGGTGAAATTGTCCTCCCTTCACTGAATTCCATTATGAATAATTGAACAAGGAATTAATATAGGAGGTTTTAAATTAGATATAAGATGTTTGACCTCTTGTCCCTTTTTTGTTTGTTTTTAAAGGTACTGCTTTCCCTTTGGACGGCCTGAAGGTGCTCTCAAAGCTACACTTTCATTACTCGAAAGGGTAAGTTTTTACTTGAATTTTCATGTGCCGTGTCCTTTTATTATTGAGCTAGTGAGAGTTATGTATTTCTTGACTACTTTTTTTGTCTTTATGATATTTCTCCTTGTGTCCATTATACTCCATCTTCAGTTCCTTCTCCCCACACGTTAAAATCCTTCTCCTCTGCTTCTGTTGCATCTGCAATCCTGTCTTCTGTAAACCTGAGGTTTCACTGGCCTCCTGTCATCCAGTTTATTCTCCCTCCATGAAGCTACAATGATCTTTCTTGTCTTCTGTCCATTCTGAATAGCTCAGTTACCTTCACAAAGATCCCTTCATTCTGCCCTTCTCGCTTTTCTACACATTCACTTCCTCCTCACTCTTACAATGTTCCACTGGTATGTTTCTTTCCACCACACCTCTTGTATCTCCCATTTTTTCTTCCATCTCTCCTCATTTTCCATCCAATATCCATTAGCTCTTCTCTTTCTTTGCATCCAAAACTCACCTCAAGGAGATTCATTTCTCCAATGATGCCTAATCTAATGCACCGTCAATTGTTGTTCAACATGTAGAAATCCATTTTCCCATAATAAGAGAAAAGAAAACAGGATTCCATCCTTGCATATTAAAAGTAACATTTTTCTAGAAGTATACTTCTGTGTCTCATGCAAAATACAAAAATTTTAAAGGAAGAAGCTATTTTATGTATTACAAACAATTAGAGTAGCTAGCGCATCAGTGTGCCATAGCATCTAGATAGCTGGCCACAGAATGAGAAAGACTTTGGTTCGAGTCTCACCCCACCTGTGACCCATAAGCTGTATACAATATAATGTATAACTCCTGGCTACTCATTTGATCTGGGAGTGTTCTAAGCAACTCTCCAAACTCTCAGTCCCAGAGGAGGAGCTATATTATATGAGCAAAGGGAATTTCTTCATTGGGACTTCCTTATACCAATAAAATTATGTAAAAATCATGGGGGGGGAGGGTTAGTAAGGGAATAGGTATATGGAAATAAGATAAGTCCTGCTTCTTCTATATTACCATTAAGAATTCATTGGAGAATTTCAATAGCTCATGGGCTGATTTCATAGCTCTGGCTGGCTTTCTTTGCCAGCTCCTTTCCCTTCTTATGCTAAATTCATTTTAGATACTTCGTTGCACGTTAGTACCTTTCCAATAGGAAAAAGAGGCAAACTTCATTCCAGGGATTGCAAAGAGGAGCTGAAACTGATTGAAAAAATAAGATCTTTGAATTCTGTACAGATCTCATATTCTCACCCTGCTCTCCATTGCCTCATCCCTGAGTACTCTACCTCATCCAGAGCATGCTGGAATTGAAAAGGCTGGTGTAGTAGTTCCTTGTTTGATTTAGATTTTTATAATATTGGAAATTTATATTGAAGAGCTTCAAGCTGTAAATTTTGAAAAGTCTGGGTAAGAACGTACTGAGTTAACAACAACAGCAATACAGATGGGGACAAGGAAATCCCGAAAAGCTTTTTAACCTTTAGAACTGATGGTCTGTTGGAGGTACCCACTGTTCCAAGCCCCATTCCTCCGCTAAGTGTCCACAAAGTAGAAAAAGTGGCAATAAGAAACTTGCTTCTAATCATATTCTCTGACCAGTGATGAAAGGCGATCTTTGTCCCAATTGGATCTACTCCATGACTCTGGGAGAATTAGGGAGAAATATTTGAGGCTACTTACTCTACCCTTTTCAAATATTCTCATTAGCTGGTATGGTAATCAATAGAATAATATAGAAATTGGGTCTTTCGTGTTCCTATAGTGCTTACACTAAGACAAACTATTAATAGAACACTATTCACTAAACAAATGCTGTATTTGAAAATTACCAAGTATTTTAATTTTGTGTCCACACTGTCTACTATTTGCTTAATAAAAAAACTTTATTAAAAACAAGATAACAAAACCTTATTGAAGCTATAAAGGGTTGGGGCTGTCTTAACAAGCATTCAGACATGTATTGTAACATTTCATTGAGAAATATGCATCTATCCCTAAGTATTAAGGGAAAGAATTCATGGTCATTATTTAACTGTTTAAGTAGATGCTATGACATGAAATCTCTCTTAGGATAAAGTTTACTTAGAGTTTGGAAAACTAAGCATTCATCTTTTAAATTAATTTTCACTTAGTTATCTCATAAGAGAAGTAAGGAAGACATGATTTAAGAGCCCAGCGAACAGTAGTAGATAGATACCCTCTTAATCTTTCAGACAAAGGTTAAATGTACACATGGCATTGAAAACGTCAATAAAATAACATGGAGCTTTTCCTCTACTTGCAGTGTATTGTCTTATCAGTAATAGCAGGTTACAGTAATTAAGAATACATTCATGGGAGAAAGGAAGGTATTAATTCAAAAGCAATTCACGCTGTTCATCTGTGGAGAATTTTTGTTGTTGCTTTGTTTTTCTTCTCACATATTACTTAGTGCAGTACTCAGAAAAGCTGGGCTTTGAACTTAGGGTGTGCTTTTCAAACTTTTCATTTTTATCCTTTCTCATGCATCGTAATGCTGATCTACAATTGCTGCTACATTGGACGGTCTTCAGTGTTTCTGGAGAGTGACTGACTAGTGATGCAGAATGCTGCCATGGCATGTGAAAGGTTTTGATACATTTAATAAATGATGGTTCAGACAAGAGGAATGGGTTATGTTTCAGATGAGAAACAATAGCCCATTTACCAGTTATCCTTCCCTTTGATGTTGTCTAACACTGCTTACTATAAATATTAGAATTGAAGATGCTTTATATGATTTGTTCCTGTTTTTTGGTAGGTTTTAATGAAAGATATTGCCACTCCCATACCAGCAGAAGAGGTGAAGAAAGTGGTCAGAAAGTGTCTAGAGAAGGCTGCCTTGATCAATTACACTAGACTTACAGAATATGCCAAAATAGAAGGTCAGTACAGTGAGCAATTGCCAAAGTGGCTGTGGGAGCCAGCAATGCCTATTAACTGACTATTCTGTGAGAAGTCTTTTCCTTTTCCTGAACAAACCTGTACCATAGCAAGGGGAAATGTCTCATTAAAATCTCAGCTGGTGAACTGTAGAGCTTTTTCCTATTCATTGCTTTAATATGCCTCCTGGGACTTTGCTTGAATGAAAGACCCAGGCTTCGTGCTTAAGTTGTCCTTTGTTCTTATTTTGAGTTTTCAAGAAACGAGAAGGTGTTTTCATGGGTTGTATTTTTTAGCATTACTGTAAGTATGTCTAACATTTAAACTATTGGCAGTGTATTCTGTCTTGATCAATAACAATGTAATGTCATGCCAGATTGTTTTCTGATGTTCTGTACTCATGCTTAGAAATGGGAAACTTGTTGATATCGTCAGTACCGAAATAAACTGATAGAACTACCCAGAGCTTTTAATTACTTGCAATATATTAATGCATTTGAAAGATTAGATCTCATGAGAGAACTGTGCATTTTTTTCTCTTTCTTTGGATTTTATTCATTAAGGATAATGATCTTTAGAATAATTTTAAAAGGATATTGAAACTTGTGGCATGGGCGCAGAACTAAATTTTTTTCTTAAGATGCATAAACTAAATTTAAAGGGGAGACAGTGGATTGTGATTGTTTAAATAAGCATAAAATATTGTTTCATAATGTACATATAGAATTAACTTTGGGAGAATGAAAAGCTTTTTGTTAATGATTTTTCAAATACACATATTTTTATATCTTCTAACAAATAATCAGCATTTGAAAATCCTCAATAACTTTTCAGTATTAAAATGCTCATTGTGGAGTTGGTATATGAGCATCGTCTAATTTTAAAACTGCTGTCAGAATCATAGAAAATGAAATAAGGATGATATGATTAACTGTAGTATGAATTCTTTTTCTCTCCAAATCTGGTCAAGCTCTCTGACAAGCATGAGTTAACCAACCTCCTGAGTGATTAACAAAAAAAGCCATCCCGTCACTATAGCAACCAATATTATATCACAAGAGTAACAACATGAAATCTCCTTAGTTACCAGTTTAACATCATTAATTATGATATCATGTTGTGTTAAAGCAAAAGTGATGAATATTAGATCATTTGGAAAAAATGAGAAAGACATATCTTAGTATTCAGTTTCTGAATACTCACTGAAATAATTTTGATGGGTTGGGGATATTGGGCTTTCTGAAAATTGATAAAGAGAATGAATGTAAAAATAGACTTTATAACCTTTTAAAACTATGTAAGGTAGAAAGTAGAGTAGAGGGAAGGGCATCCATAGACAAATTAAGTAAATAAAAAATAATCTTGAAGAAATGACCAGAACTCTATATACAAAAACTCATAGGAAATGTTTTTTTCTCCATTAAAATCCGTGTAATTAATTTCATTTGGATCACTGGCTTATCCAAGAGTATTTAAAGGGAGCAAGGACTTTTATATTCCTTCCTATATCTTGCAATCTCTTTCTCTATTTCTGAGCTATAGCACGCCTTCTCATAAGTAAACTTTAAATTAAATTAAATATTATTCCATATACATTTAAGAAAGACATCCTCTCTGGTGAAATAGACATAATCCTAGGCCTAGAGCACAGGTAGTGACAAGAAACAGCACCTGTTTACATGTTTGAAGTATGAAACTAACCCCTTTAAATGAAGGTTTATGGTTTCTTTGCCATATATTCCTAATAGAGACAAAATACAATGCACAGACTAATTTTCTTTCTTTTACTGGTACCATTGATAAGATAATAGTGTCAATTATGGGATCATTCCTAAAAAATGGTCAAATGGGAATAACAGACCTTCCACTTTCAGAGATAAGAAATGCCTGTTTATCAAAGGGAAAAAAATCCATGCTCTTGAATTCTGTTGGTTTTAGCTTTTTAGGAAAAAGAGTCATTACAATTATATTTGGATTACCCCTAAAATCAAATCACATTCTAGTGACGATAGAAAATGAGTCCATTTTTTTTTTCTGTACCAGATTGGACTGTTATACTGATGCAATTTTATATGGAGTAATATTCATTTTTTTTCCCTCTAAATTCTCTTTGCTTATGTTTTAGGCCCAGCAGAAAAGGAAACAGGTGATTAACCAACCCCCTGCATGCACATGCCATTGTCTTTCATGTGGTGTGATGATGTTGTAGTGTTGATGTACCAATGTCTTCCTTTTTGATTTTTTTAAAATTATACCATTTTGGCCAGAATACAGAGAAGACCATGATGGTACATGAGCTAATAATAGCTGAGTGAGCATTCGGTGCAAAAACAAAGTTCAGCAATTGATACCACCTTTCATTATGGGGTTAGGGAAGAAAGACTATAGGTTCAAAAGATGTGAATTTCAGTGTGAGAACCTGAGTACCCTGAGTCAATAAGCATGAGCTCTTGCGCACACACACACATAGGAGAGAGGGGAGGAAGGGGAGGGAGGAAGGGAGAAAGATTTTTATTGCCACTGAAGATAAAAATGAAAATGAATGGGCTTAAACTACAATACATGAGATTTATATTAAATGAAAAGTAAAATATTTCCTAATACTGAATACTTGGTTGGACTTGTGAGCTTATGGATGTGGGGGTACACATCAGTGCCGATGATGACCCGTATGTACCTTACTATGATGTTCAGTTCCTGTCCACGTCCTTCTATAAATCCTCCACTGAGATCCTATCTACTGCTTAACATCCTGGAAGCCATCGTCTACATCTTTTAGCATTTGTTAGGGTTGTTAAAAATGGGAATCAGTAATTGAGTGAGGCTTGTTTTTTCAGGAAGTTTAAAAAATTATCCAGGACACTGTAGGTTTCAATTTTGTTTGAAGGCACTCCAGAGAGTCTTTCTTGCCCTGTTTTTCTGAGTTTAGAGTAAAATCTGCATGTAACTAGTTAGATTTCTAACTGAAGGTTTCCAATAAAATTTCATCTTTTGTTTTCTCTAGTTATCTCTTCTTTCCAGCAACCAACTATCATGTTTACCTAGTTTTCTACAACAGAGTTAAAGGGAAACTGAGGCAGGAAAGAGGAACTACTGTCAATACTTGCCAAATATGGTTTAGAATATGTGGACTAGTAAGAACCATGAGTGTCCAATAACAACCCATTTTGTTTATGAAATGTGCAGGACAAGAAGTCAAGAATCCTCATGATGCTAATTACTAGCCCTGTGACCTCAGACAAGCCACTTAACCTCCCTAGACCTCACTGTCTTTATCAGCAGAATAGAGAAGTTGGACCAAGTAATCTCTATGAAAAAATTCCCTACATTTGTGTGGTACTTTAAACCATTCCCTCAAGATCTTATCTCAATATTTCAAAAAGTCTTCATTTCACCAGTGTTGGTATTCCCTATACTCACAAAGATAGCAATCTCCATATACTTTAGCAGATAGTCTTCTTGAGTTGCTGTTTCCAGATAATTAATAATAATAATAATAATAATAATAATTAATAAAAAAACAAATAAAATAATAATAATAACAATCATAAAACTTTGTGGCCAATCTTCTGATGATAAGCATCTCTGTATAGACTAATCCACAGACCACAGGCAATCAACCAGATTCCACTCAAAGCCTTTCCAACTTGGTAGGTCCTGTCAAAGCTCATCAGTAAATGGCATGGCCTTTAAGAATCCTGGGTCACCTTTGTACCACAGTGAAGCTCCTTCTTAGATGACTATTTCAAAATCTATTGTACATTTTATCTTCCCATCACTCTTGAAGTTGGTGGAACAGGTAGTTATCAATCCTGTTTATAGCTGAAGAAATTGAGCTACCAATGAATTATGATTACAACGAATTAGTGGCAGAGGTAGGATGAGAACCCCAGGTCTTCTGACTCCTTAACTATCTATGGCACCCTAGTAGCTTGCACCTTCTCAATGTGAAAGTGAGGATGAGTCCTCCTTAAAATGTGGAGCACAGCAGCCATGTGGTAGTTCTCTTTTTCCACTACAAGGAAGAGAGTATTCTTCCCTCATCCCTTGCTTAACTTCTCCCTAGCCTTTCTGCCATAGGTATTTTAAATCTCACTAACTAGCAAATAAAGAAACTTAAGCAAAATAATTTTTATTGATTAGGGCTATCTCCTTAGAAATAAAGAAGAAAATACAGTTCATCTTCACTCATTTAACTGTCTAGGGAAACCAGACTAGATTACTGAAAATTTTGGATTTTATAGTATTTTAAAATAAATGCAGGTGCATTATTTCCATGTACAGCGATGATAATAACTGGCATTTACATAGTGCTTTAAAGTCTGCAAAGCATTTACCTACACGCCATCATTTGAGCTTCCCAACCACCGTTTGGGGTAGATACTATAGGATTTATCATCATCATGTTACAAATGGGGAGTCTAAGCCAGAGAATTTAAATAACTTCCCAATGATCTCACAGCTTGTAAGTGGAATAGGCAGGAATTGAACCCAGATCTTCCTGACTTTAAAGTCCTGCAGTCTTATTAGCAAAATATCCCCTAGGAGAAAGATTTATGAGACTATCTTGTTAAATTAAATATTTTAATGAGTATTATTTGAAACAAAGATGTTAATAGTACATTAAAGAGCTCTTAACATATTCAGAAATGCTTTAAAACGATTTATTTTCTTGAACATTTTACATTTTTCTCCAGTTCTATTTGAGCCGTGAACTTTAGCTAGGAAGAAAGAGTTTGCCAAGGAAAGGAGAAGTTCAGCCCAGCACCGATGGGCTTATTAGAAACCCTACTTGGTAGAACCCAAGCTAATGAGGTTTTACTGTAGATTCTAGAGTTGTGTTACAGGGACAATATATGTACAGTGTACCTGGGGCCTCTCTTCCTGTTCCCCTGTCCCTGAGCCGTAACATGGTGAAATCACTGGTTTCCCACCTCCCTGTAGGCTTTCAGGTGTCGTATCTGATTCATCTCTTTTAGTTAAGCCAGTTCACATTTCCATGAGTAATTCAAATTTGGCAGTTACTTCTAACACAGCTCCTTGTTGTCCTGAACAAGTAACAGAAATGTCTCAAATTCTGATGAACCTGAGACTCGGAGAGCTTGTGACTCGTTTAAAGTTACCTAGCCTAGCTGGTGACAGGATTAGTACTAGCATCTTCACTTCCTGACTAGAGATCCAGTGCATTTTCCATTTTCCCTTGTAAGGGACTGGTTTCTTCTTTTTATGGGAAAGGGGGTAGTCTGGGTGGGAAGAAAAGGTTGTGAGGAACTTGAGAAACATTTATTAAGTGCTAAAGCATTGTGCTAAACATTGTATCAAGTGATATAATGAATTAAAAGGGCTTCGTTAACTATAAGATAACCTCTAGATGTGACCTGTTTCCAGATACAGACTGACTCATAACACACTAGTATGTCATCCCAGATATAGCCAATGAGAACATCTGTCTCAGAAATAGGAAGATGAGTTTTAAAAAAGGATTGTTCAAACCTCCCCCACTGAAACCTTTCTTTTTAAAAAAATTTTTTTTGAAACTTTTCTACTACTTATTTGACGCAACAGGTAACTGGATTACAAATTATAGTGCCAGATTAAAATTAGCTGCTCTTCCAGAATTTGAAGGAGATGTCCAAAGCGTGGAGCAATAGAATGGCGCAGGATTCGAGAGACCCAAAACTTGGAACAGTCGGTCTAAAGACTCATCAGTCTACTGTACCTTTAGTTTTGCTGCATATTTCAGATGTCTCTCAAAGTCAGCTTTCCATTTTCACCCATTTATGCCTTTATTCAGTCCTTGTCCATTATGCAAAATCTTCAGTAGAAGTACAAATTAACAAAGCTTATGGGTTTAAAAATTCTTATACATAAACTCATTGCTCTTTTGTCCTCTTTATCTCCCTTTGGGTCTTATTTGTATGTACAAAGAACACTAATACGCCATATTGGGAGCAAGATATGGAGAACATACAGCATGTACATGTGTTTTATTGTCACACTTGTTTTAGTTGTGATGTTATTTCCTGTGGAGTGAATATAGATAAATTTTCCTTGTTACTAAATAGGAAATTGGTTGTTGACTTAGAATATTACAAAAATAGACAATTTACTTTCTCTTTCAGTTGTTTTGTAAAACTGTACAGAGACTAGAAACTAGTTGCATTTACTCTATTTTTAATTAAGGGCTTAAACTGCACATTGAAACAAACTTATTTTTATAACCATGTTTTCTGGGCCACATACCTTATGGGTGAAAAATCATCCATCGTTTTTTGGAGTGCAAATAACTTATTTTTAATTAAGAGAATTACATGTATATGAGAGCAGTAATCATAAAAACACACATTAATTCACTGCTTTCTCTCCCCCTCCTCCTCCTCCAAACACTGAGTATCATATTGTGACGGAAAATAAAAGAAGGAAGACTGCTCCTTAGAGCTTGCCATGACTGTGATCTTTTGCATAGATTTAGAATCTATGCTTATTATCAATCTAGAAATGCAGAGGTGCCCTAGACAAAAGGTACCACACAGTGAACATGCAAATTCTTTGTGTGGTAAGAATCTTTTTCAGCACTCTGGTTGCCAGGTTCCCAGGTCTAACCCCCAAGTGCTCTCATTTTCCCAGTGTCTCAGTTGAACTGGATATAGAGTGCTTTCCCAGAAGGCTGTGCATGCTTACTTTCTTTAAGGGTAGAAGTTGAACAGTAAGCTGCCCTCACATCATTTAGATGTGTTTGCAATCTGGATAACACTTTAACTTAGTACTCCATTATCAGAATATAATGAGGAACATAAAATTCAAATAAAATAAATATCTGTTCTGCTTAAGACTTAGCATGTGTGTTAGCAAATCCAAAAGCTCAAAAATCACATGCTGTCCTATAAATGATGTTGCTTTTTTCTGAAAGTGGCTAATTTATTAACATTCCTAAAATAATAACATAAGGATATATTATTTGTTTACCACTTACCATGCAAAAGTTTCAGAAGTTTCTTCTGGGAAATTTGATTATAAATATTCATAAATATTATGCCTCCCCATATATTTAGGGAATCTTCTGAAATAGAATTAAAAGATCAGTATCATGTGACCCTATCACTATGGAAAATGATTTTTTAAAAAATCACCAGAATCCCTACCTCA